ATGGGCATCTAGGTTGTTTCCATCGTTTTGCTATTGTGAACAATGCTGCCATGAACATAGGTGTGCATATGTCTATTCGAGTGACGACTCATATTTCTCTAGGATATATTCCTAGGAGTGGAATTGCTGGATCGAATGGTATGTCTATTTCTAGCTTTCTGAGGAAGCACCATATCATTTTCCAAAATGGTTGTATCAGAGAAGGTAATTTTAATTCATAAGATTATTACAGCTTTAATTTTGGATTAAGAAAAATTCTGATTCCTCTTACCCTTCCAAAAGTATGTTCTGTGAAATCAGCTTGGGAAGAAATCAGTGCACAGATGTTGGGGAAGCCCCAGCTGTGTTTAATTTGCAATCTTCAGTTGAAATTCTCTGCCTCTTAGCTCACCAATGGGCAGTAACTCATCTCAGAGGCAAGCCAGCAAGGCTCCGGGTAGGAACTCGGGAGATGTCTCGTCCCAGGAACCGAGAGCTGTGTATTGCAAACAGTCTCTAGGACTCAGAGTTGTTTGTTTTTTTCCAGCCCTGAACTCTCTTGGGGAAATTGTTTAAGTTGGATCTCTCATAAAGGTCACAGGAAAACCACAAAGCGAGGCAGCAGGAAATGGAATTCCACATCCATCCAAATGCCACGTTCTGTGTCAGCACCGTTGTTTTAACAGCTTATATTTCTTTACCCAAATAACATGTGGGTCGTAAAGGGATGTTTCACAAATCAGCCACGTTGTTTACTTTTAAGCATGCGATGCTGAGGAGAAACTTGTTGAGTCTGATCATTTAGATACTGGGTAACAACGCTAAACTGAAAACGTATGTCAGCCTACTTCTTGATTTGAGCAAACGCTCTAGCTATTCTCTTCATGTTGGAAATGCACGCTAAAGGACCATTTCTAAATGTCCAGAGATTTTTTTTATTTTTATGTGACATTTTTCTGTCTGAGGGTCAACTGTTGGGAGGATAAGATATGACAATTATTTAATTCCCTCTGCTGACTTCTGAATTTGCAAAGACTTCAGGACGTGAAATTTGGTTTTTCAAAATAAAAATAGTGTTTTTATTTCCGATTATGAGAGAGGATTTCATCTGGTGTGTTTGGGGCCACATTGTGCGGCTGCCGCCTTCCATTAAGAGTAGTGAAAACGCAGACAACCCTTTGGTGATAGTGTAGGGATTGAGCAGTTCCCTGCAAAGCCGAAATGTCCACAGCATTGTAGACGAGACTACTCTCTGTAGCTTGTCATGTTTCCTTTTAAAGGGAAGTTTGGGAGTGAGTACAAATGATAGATGCCAGCTTAAGACACCCTGGGGCATTACTTACGGGCTCATTTTATAGAAAAGAGCGCTTAAGGATCTAGAGCATCCTGGAATAAACCAGAGGAAGCCATGCTGGAAAGTGGTTGGAACACAGTGTGGGCCACCTGAGAAGACACTGATGGGAGAGTCGTCCTTCATTACTCTCGGTGACTTTCAGTGTTGGCGCTGGTTCATTGTGTGAGCAAGATCCTTCTGGATAAGACTTCCTCAGTCCTGTGGCCTCTGAGGGCTCCTGGGTGGTGCAGATGGTTAAGCGCTTGACTACTGACCAAAAGGTTGGCGGTTCGAACCCACCTAGAGGCAACTCAGAAGAAAGCCCTGGTGATCTGTTTCCCAAAGGTCACAGCCTTAAAAATCCTCTGGAGCACAGTTCTACTCTGACACACATGGGGTTGCCATGCATCAGGATCGACTTGTGGGCAGCGGGTTTGTTGGTTTTTCTGTTTTTTGGTGGCTTCCTGGAGTGAGGGGTAGTGTCTTTCCTTAAGAGACTGTCGTGAGCAGAATCCGGCTCCTTTTGTCAAGAGCTCGGTGGTTTTGCTTATCATTGCATCTCCAATGCGTAGCACAGAGCTTGTAACATGGTGAGTACCTTTACATGTTTTTGTAGAAATTGTTGATTTTCCAGGCTGGGAGCATGCCAGCCAAGTCAGAGGTGAAGAATGAATTTTCCTTTCTTTTCTCTTTTTCTAGTGTTCAAAGCTTCTTTCAGACACAAGCGTTATTCAGTTCTACCCAAGCAAATTTGTCCTTATCACCGACATACTTGACACATTTGGTAAGTACCTGTCATATTCATTTTAGATCTAGGAGATATGTTTGTTTTGTCAGGAGTTGGATGGGACAGTTGCTTTAAATTAGGTTCTGTTGTGGTTTAAATAACTAGGTAAATCATGAGGGAGACCGAGCCATTCCCCTATGCCTGTTAACAAGGGAGCTGTTTTTGAAAGAATCTTGAATTATGTTTTTTCTAGCCATCTGATGGGCTAGTAAAGCGAGTGAGAGAAGTGAGGCAAGCTGGGGGCACCTGCCCTGTCCAAACTAGCCCCAGTCCATTGCCATCTCATAAGCATCTGAACCTCACTTTGTCCAGAACGGAAGTTGGCATCTGAGCCCAGCTCCTTTTCCTGCCCACCGCTCCCCGTGGGTTTCTGTCTCAGAGAATGGCACCAGCATGCACCCAGCTGCCCAGGTTGGAAATCTAGAGCCTGCCCCCGTCCTCCCTCTCCACTGCAGAATCGTGTTCCCAGGGCTGCTGTTGTTTGATCTCTTTGGACTGAAACTATTCCTCAGGACTGTAGATGGCAGCCTGTGTCTACAGGTGTCCAAGGAGACTTTGCTCTGCTTTCGGGCCAGTGAATCATTTTCTCTTTTTACAAAAGGAGCCACACCCTGGCTTGCTTGGATCGAAATTTGGCGTGCTGTGGTCAACCTTGCGAGCCTTGCGTCTGTTTTTATAAATGAAGTTTTATTGGAACACAGCCACACCCATTCATTTACATACTGTGCTTTGGTGCTACAATGGCTGAGTTGAGTAGTTGTGACAGAGACCTGTGACTTGTAAAATCTGAAATATGTTCCTCCATCCATCCAACACATACTTACTGAATACCTGCTATGTGCCAGGCAGTATTCTAGGAACTAGGGGTACATCAGTGAACAAAACGACACAAATGTCTGCCCTCGTGAAGCTTACGCTCTAGTTGAATTCCAAATTTGATGCTTCCAGGGACCAGGCAGGTCACGTGGATGAGTAGAGCCCACGGTGAGAGACGGTAGGGGGCTGTGAAGATGGTGGCAGACTGGAGAGGGTGTATGCCGTTTCACAGGGCACTGTTAACTGGGTGTCTAGCTCCTTGTTATCCTGTAGGACTGTGGGCCCGTTTTTGGCACATCCTATATGAAGAAGCGGGAAATCCGGTTTTTCATGTGAATGTTCCCAATTTTTACCTGTTGGTAATTAATACAAAAAATGTTAAAATACTTTGTGGGTCATTGTAGTGTGGGCCAAATAAAACAGGCTGCATGGGCTGTCTGCTTGCACCCTCTGACCTAGAATATAAAATGGACTACTCTCCGCTGAGTAAATGGAGATGCTTGAGATTTCTTTTGACACTGTGTTTCAGTTAAGACTCTAAAGGGTAGATTAATCTCTTTTCTTGCTTCTCTCATAAAAAATAAAATCCTTTTATTAAAAACAAAAGAAAAACGAAAGAAACTTAGTTTAAAATGTGTGCCACTAGGTGGCAGCTTACTACCGCAAGTTAAAGCATGTCCTGGCAAGGCATCTGTGTTCCTAATTAGCAAATGTTTATTTAGTGTTTGCTCCTGAAACGTGTGATGCTAATGCCATATGCTCCTTGTCTCCACAGGAAAATTAGTGTATGAGCGCATCTTTTCCATGTGTGTGGATAACCGCAGTGTCTTGCCAGGTAACTTCATAGCTATTCCATTGGTTTCATTCTGCACTGGAGTTGGGATTGCAAGTCAGCTTAATGTATGCTTTATTGAAAACCAGTGAGTTTTTTTTTTTTTTTGGTGTGTTGTAAGTAAAAGAAATACCTTTAATGATTGATTTCTGATCATTTCAGTCTTCTAAAAGAAACATTAGAAGGTTTTAAAATAGGCCCCGCTACCAATTTGGACGAGTAGTTTGAATCTGCAAGAATGAAAGGATATTGCAATTAGACTTGGCTGAACGTTCACTCCAAATTATCTTCCTCTGCTGCCTGACGTTGCTAGTATCTTTCCTAAGAAGCAAATTGCTTTTTAAAAAAACAGCTTTATGTATATCTTAAAGAACAATGACAAGTAAATCAATAGTGACAGATGCTTTGAATCACCAGTCTATACCTAAGTGATTAACTTTATTGCCAATCAGTTTTAGTGCCTCAGGAGGTTATAATGGGGCAAGTAGATTATGAATTCTTATCTTTTTTTTTCTTCTCATATAAATGATAATGATGGTGTGTCTGGCAGTGTAGAACCTGCGGATCAGCTTCCTTTTCCTTTTATCCTTCCACTGAACTTCCCTTCCTAGCCCTGCCATAAGGAACCTTCTCACCTGTGCAGAGCGAGGGCAGCCAGCTTGCTTCACCTTTGCTCCGCTTCCTTCTGCTACTAACAGTGACACTTCCCTGGGAGATGAAGAGAAGCGTCAGGGACAGTAAATCAATAATTTTGGTGGTGCAGATGGTTAAGTGCCCTGCTGCTAACTAAAAGTTTGATGGTTTGAACCCACCCAGTGGCTCCATGGGAGAAAGATCTGGCAGTCTGCTTCCGTAAAGATTACCAAAAACCCCGTTGCCGTTGAATAGATTCCAACTCTTATCGACCCTGTAGGACGGAGTAGAACTGCCCCATAGGATTTCCAATGCCATGATCGTTACGATAGCAGACTGCCACATCTTTCTCCCACGGTTCAAACCCCCAGCCTTTCAGTTAGCAGCCAGGCGCTTTAACCACTGCACCACCAGGGCTCCTTCCGTAAAGATTACAGCCTAGAAAACCCTATAGGGCAGTTCTGCTCTGTCACACGGGGTCGCTATGAGTTGAAATCGACTCAACAGCACTGAATAACGACAACACATGCACACATATACGTATGTATGTACGTGTATACATGTCAAAAATATATATATTTTATATAGACATACATGTTGAAACGTATATATGTATAAACATATACATGTGCATGCACACACGTGCACACACACAAAACTAATGTGCACGTTTCTCAGAAATAAAGACACAGAAATCCATAGACCTTTAGAGCTGGAAGAGCTCTTAGGAATCATCTCATCAGGGACAAATCAGGTATGAATGAGTCGAGGATCTGCCCAAGGCCTGGCTGCCAGCTAGTGAGAGCCTTGCTCTTGGCCGTGGACCTGCGCCGTCCAATACAGTGGCTATGTGTGGCTCTTGAGCAGTTGAGATGTGACCAGATCACATTGAGATGTGCCATGAGTATTAAAAAAAAAGCTCAGGATTTCAAAGATTTAATACAAGCAAAAGATTGCCAAATATCTCACTGATAATTTTCTATAGGGAATTCATGTTGAAATAACAATATCTTGGATGAATTGGGCTTAATGAAATCTATTATTGAAATGAATCTCATCTTTTTTTTTTTTTTAATGTGATACTGTGTTTATTCCTCTCCGTGTGTTTCTTGGTATTTTGGCTATTGTGGCAGCCAATTCACCTTTTTATGTGGCTTCTAGAAATTTTAAAGTTGCAGCACGGCTCTCATGATATTTGTGTCGAGTGACTGCTGTAAACCCTCTGCTCCACCTCATGGTACCTGTGATGTGTGTGTGTGTGTGTGTGTTTTATTGTACTTTAGATGAAGGTTTACAGAACAAATAGATTCTCATTAAACAGTACACATATTGTTTTATGACAATGGTTAATAACCCAATGACATGTCGACACTATGTCCCTTCTCAACCTTGGGTTCCCTATTACCAGCTTTCTTGTCCCCTCCTGCCTTCTAGTCCTTGTCCCTGGACTGTTGTGCCCCATTAGTCTCGTTTTGTTTTATGGGACTACCTAATCTTTGGCTGAAGGGTGAACCTCGGGAGTGACTTCGTTACTGAGCTAAAAGGGTGTCCGGGGGCCATACTCTCAGGGTTTCTCCAGTCTCTGTCAGGCCAGTAAGTCGGGTCTTTTTTTGTGAATTAGAATCTTGTTCTACATTTTTCTCCAGCTCTGTCCGGGACCCTCTGTTATGATCCCTGTCAGAGCAGTCAGTAGTGGTAGCCGGGTACCATCTAGTTTTACTGGACTCAGTCTGGTGGAGGCCGTGGTAGTTGTGGTCCATTAGTCCTTTCGACTGATCTTTTCCTTGTATCTTGTTTTCTTCATTCTCCCTTGCTCCCGAAGGGGTAAGACCAGAGGAGTATCTTAGATGGCTGCTCACAGGCTTTTAAGACCCCAGATGCTACTCACCAAGGTAGAATGTAGAACATTTTCTTTATCAACTGCGTTATGCCAATTGAGCTAGATGTTCCCTGAGACTGATGATGTGTTTTAACAGCTCATCCCATGTTCCAGGAATCTCAAGATTGGGAAGTAATGAGCCTGGAAGGGTAGGCAGGGGCCAGCCTGATTAGAAAGGCCTTCTCTGCCAGATTCTAGAAATCTGGATCCATTTCTTTAATTGACAGTTGCCAACTTGTGCTCCACGTGCTATACTAGCAGCAGGAAACTTAGCCAACAGGCAGAATTAAACCCAAATAGATATTTTTTTTTTCGGCAACAGCAGTACTTTTTAAAAAATGCTTTTTGAAACAGGTTCTACTTCTTCCTACTGTTTGTTTACACATAACCACTTAAAATATTTCTATTACCTAATGGTAATATTTGGGCAATATTTATAAAAAACATTTGAGTTTGCATCTTCTGCAATAATTTTCCCTCCTCCCAGTTTCCATTGACTATACAACCAAGCTCTTAAGGCTAATAAAGGACAAATTACTAATAACTTACTAACTACTCAAACTCTAAAAGTTAAAAATAAAAGGTTATTTTCATAGTCACTTCTAGTCCTTGTCTAAATTCACTAATTAGCACTATTACCACTAAAACTCTTCTCTCCCCAAATATGTTTTTACTTTGAGCGATGCAAATCAGGCTTTTGTTTTCTTGAAAGGAATTGTTTGCTTTTCTTTCCTTTCAGTTAAAATCTTCATCTGCATGTGTTTTCTCTTGTTCCACAAACCCAAAAGAGATAGGGGCAAACTTTTCTCAAAATTGTCTGTGACCTGGGGGATGATTTTCTTTTTTTTTTTTTCCCGAACTTTATTTTGTTGTTGTTGAGACTATACACAGCAAAACATACACCATTTCAACAGTTTCTACATGTACAGTACAGTGACATTGATTATAGACTTGTGCAACCATTCTCACATGCCCTCTAAGGTTCCTATCTAATTTTTCAAGTTGCTCTTGTCCATTTGATCCCGTACAGGTAGATCTTAAAAGAGCATAATGCTCAAGGCAGACCTTTTTTACTAGTTAAGCTAAACTATTTTTTGGTTTTAAGAAGACTTCAGGGGTTATTTTTGGTTTAAGGTTTAAAGATTGTCTCAGGGCAGTAGTTTCGGGGGTTCATCCAGTGTCCATGGCTCCAGAAAGTCTGGAGTCCATGAGAATTTGAAATTGCATTTGCCTCCTTTTGATCAGGATTTTGGTATAGAATCTTTGATGAAAATGTTCAGTAATGGTAGCTGGGCACCATCCAGTTCTTCAAGTCTCATGGCAGAGGAGGCAGTTGTTTATGGAGGCAATTAGCCACACATTCCATTTTCTCCTCCTATTCTTGCTTATCCTCTGTTGCTCCAGGCAAATAGAGACCAATTGTACCTTGAATGCAAGCTTTTAAGACCTTGGGGACAACTTTTAACTATAATAATGAAGAAATATTTTGAAATCTGTGCAGAATACTGCCTAACGAAATTATGTATAAAGAGAATTCTGATGCCATTTGTACTCATTCTTTCCATTTGAATCAAGTCCTGATTGATGATTTTAATATTTAAGCCCTTTGCCTTTAGGAGTTTTAACTAAGGTATAGCTCTTATGAGTTTAGAAAGATACAGTGTCCTTTGAGTTCATGAAAAGTATATACTACTAGATGTGATAGTTTTTCCCCCAGCATTTCTTGATCTGGCATATGTTTAAAGAGGTCATCTACTCTGAGTGGTAAATAATTTTATTTTCAGCTTGGAGAAAATCATTTGGGTGTATTGTAGTTCTCATCATGAACTGCTGGCGTTTCATCTTCAGTTTTCCCCAGGGCCTCTATAGAATGCATCTGTATAAGGAGCATCCTTAACTGACCTGGCCTTTGAAGCACATATGAGCTAAGATGACATCACGCCCCTATAAGCACTGTATGTAAAGAGACATCTCGTTGCTAGGGAGAGACTTAGCAAATGGAAGAGAACTAGACTCTCTGGTCTCCTCCTTCTCCCTAAAGTATCCACAGAAGTTCAGGGATAAAAACAGAAGCACCGTAAACAAAAAATAAATGGGAACTAGAAGAAAAATCTCTGCTTTTTGTTACATCTAAGTCTCTTCTGAATTGATTTCCAAATTCTGAATTCATTCTCCACACAGCAGCCCAAGTGCTAAAATATAAATCACATCATGTCACATCGTGTCCTGCCACTCCTCTGCTCAGAACCCTTTGGGGTTCCTGTTTCCCTTGGAAAAACTCTCAAGCCCCTCACCAGCCTACAACCCTGACCTGGCTTGGACACCTCCTCTGACTCTGTCTGCTGCTCTTCCCCTTCCTGTTCACCATGCTGGTTTCCTTTCTGTTCTTCGACCATGGGGAAGTCATTCCTACCTCAAGGCCTTTGTGCTTCCTGTTTTCTCTCCTGGAGTACACTTCCTCCACATCTAACCCTGGTTGGCTTCTTTGTGTAACTCACCTCAAACGCCACCTCTGCAGGAGCCTTCCCTGACCACCCTATCTAATGAGCCCCCATCCTCCCACTCAAGTCACTCTTGATTCCAGTACCTAGTTTTATATCTTTCATAGTGCTGACTGCTGTTGGAAATTATCCTACTTGTTTGCTGCTTATTCTTCTTCCTGTTTATCATGTCTTCCCTCACTGGAATGTAAGCTTCACAGGGACAGGGTCTGTCTTATGTGCTGTTATATCCCCAGAGCCTAGAACAGTGTCCTTAGCTCGTAAGAAATTTGTGCTGAACAAGCAAAATGAAGAAATGTAGTATTTTAGGAGTCCCTGGGTGGTGCAAACGGTTAAGCACGCGACTACTAGCAGTTCAAACCCACCCAGAGGTGCCTTGGAAGACAGGCTTGGTGATCTGCTTCCGAAAGGTCACAGCCTTGAAAACCCTATGGAGCAGTTCCATTCTGCAGTCGCCATGAGTCTGAATTGACTCAACAGCAAGTGGCAACAAGAAGTATTTCGTTTACTACAGTCATGTTAAGCCCTGCATAAGAGAATCCTATTCCTGAATTATCTCTTAGGCTGGAAGGGAGGCATAAAGACTGTATTGGTGTATGTGGATTCTCGTATAGCTTGCAGTTAGTGTGTGCATGCAGCGCAATTTGCCTTTAGTGTGATTTTCAGCTCTGATAGGCGACCCGAATCACTGTTTTCCCACCCTTCACTGAACTTCAGTTCCTTCACCTATAAAGTGAGGGATTTATTACGTGGGCTTAGAGGCTGCTTTTTGCTTTTAGATTGCAAGCCACATGATTCAGTCGTATGAAGGGAAATGAACCTCACCGCTCCTTTTTCCAAAAGGCGATATTGACAGAGGAATTTAAGAAAAAACCTTACTTTTTCCTGTCTTGTTCTCTTGAAACTTGAAGCAAAGTTACTTCTTTATGTGCATGGGTTCAAGCCAGGAAGAGGAAAATGGTAATTTCCCATCCTTTTGAAAATGGCAAGTGAATAGTTCTTGAACGAATGAGGCTTGCCAGAACATCCAAAAATAGATAAGTACTTAAGATTGCAATATCAAAATATCTGCAGTTGTGATTAGTGACTATGCTTGCTACTGAAGCAGCTAGAGTTTTTTTCTATTTATTGATTCTGTAGGAATTTTGATCACCTTAGTTGTATATTACCAAGTGGCAGATTCAGGGGTGGAAAAATAACTCACTGCAAAAGAAGAGAAGAGCCAACAAGCTCAGATTCATTTGCTACATTAAAAATAATTAAATTCTCCCTTTTTGATTGAATGCTAAAGGTATAAAACACCCAGTGATAGAATGGGCTCCAATTCTTTGAGAAAATTATTTAGAAGAAATAATTTCCATTTCCATGTGAGAGTTCAGCAATGACCTTTTTGTTTTTTCCATTTTTCTATATTCCCTTCCATTCCCTGTTAAGGGGTATATCAAGATTAGGCTTGCGGCCAATAACAGAAAACTCAAAATAACAATAGAGAAGGTCAGAGCTGGTGGGGCAGCCAGCCATGCTGCCAGAGACTCTGGCTTCTTCTGTGTTACTGCTCTCATGGTTCAAGATGGCTGCTGAAGCTGCAGTCATCATATCTGCATTCCAGCCTGCGAGAAGGGAGAAGGGGTGAAGGAGGGCAAGCCCCTTCCCTTAAAGACATTTCCCAGAAGAAGTACTTCTGTTTTCATCCTGGGACCAGAACTTGGTCACATGGCCACACCTAGCTACCTGCTGCAAGGATGGCCATATGCCCAGCAGAGAAATGAGAGTTCTGTTATTGAAGAAGAATAGAACAAATAATGGTAGAACTGACTGTTTGTGCCACCAGGCGACTGCCGTCTTAGAGTCTCACTCTTGTTTTGGAAACTTAACTGGCTGGTCCCTTACTTCAGGGCCTTGCTGTACCCTCATGTTTGGCTCATGTGATGCTTAGATCCCATTTCATGTTACAATCGAAGGTTCCCAGAGCAATATTGGCGTAGTTATCGGTGAGTATACCAAGAACCTCTGGATTATACTAGAGGCAGTGGCTAAGAACAAGGCTCTCAAACCAGACTGCCTGGGTTTGAATTCTTCCAATCGCTTGCTGTGTGCCCTGGGCAAGTTACTGAAGTTTTCTGTGCCTCGGTCTCCCCATCTATAAAAGAGAGTAATAAAAGTACATTCCTTGGAGGGCTGATTGGGGATTGGCTGAGCTAACATCTATAAAGCACTGCCAATGGCACCTGGCACCTAGCAAGCCTCTTTGTGTAAGCCATGTTGTCATTCATTGTTTTCTAGTAATAATGATAGTGATCATAATAATGGCATTTGGAAGCAAAGACATAGAGTGTCTGAGTACCCCACTCCTTGTACTGCTCCACGGTAACATTTTCCTATCCCAGGCCTCCTAGCAGCTGGAACAGATCCTGAGTGAGCTGATGGGTGCTGTTTTTGTATTACAGATCACTTTTCTCCAGAGAACGTAAATGACACGGCCAAAGAAACATGCTTAAATTGGTTTTTCAAGATTGCTTCCATCCGGGAACTCATTCCGAGATTGTATCCTTTTATTGTCTGATGATTTTAAAGATAGGCTGAGCGGATTGTCCTGTTAATAGAAGCCATGTGATGGGAAGCCCTGGGATGCCTGTTGACGGTTTGGCTCTGTTATGGTTACTGGCCTGCAAACACAGGGTGAGCCATGTTGCAGAGGCTCTCGGACTCTCCAGACAGTTTTCTGTGTTTTACTTTGAATGCGACGCCATGTACCGGGGTTTCGTTTCCTTCAGCAACATTCCTACATTAATTCTCTCAATTAAAATGCTTCGTTTTCGTATATTTTCTCTGGCTCCAAGAACTTGAAAGGAGCAGGGTCAGGCTTTTCTGCGCAAATGCCAGTATTGAAGAACAGAGAGTTTAACTGATACATACACTGAATCTTAGTTATCTAAAGTTCATTCTTTCCCCACAAAGCCTTGATTGGAAATGCTCAAAGCCTGGTTTAAATTTCAGCGTACAGCCATGAATCAACATGTAACATTTTCCAAAATTTGTTTTAAATAAGTATGAAACCTTGAAAACCAAATATAGAAACCACAAGCCACTAGCTAACTGCATTCTCTGGATTGTTGAGGGCCGTCGTGGTCCACCTCTCCTGAAGACAGGCCTGGTTTTGTTCATGAACAGTTTGGTCATTTCCCCGTAGGGGACAGACCATCTGGAAAATGTCTTCCTTAACGGAATGTTTTTGTAGTTACGTGGAAGCATCCATCTTGAAGTGTAACAAGTTCCTCTCCAAAACGTAAGACTCTTAAATGTTTAGAACCATAAAATTTCTAAAAAGTGTGTGTACACACACAGATATACAATAGTGGTGGTGTAATAGTAGCTGTCGTTTACTGAGTGCTTACTGTGAGGCAGATATGGTGCTAAGCATCTTCCATGCATTTTCTCATTTAAATCCTTGTGGAGACCTAATGAAGTGAGACACCATCTTTATTCCCATTTTACTTGAGAAGAAAACTCCAGTTAGGAGAGGTGGGGTAACTTGTGGACGATCAGGGCAACTGGCTTTGAACTGTGGCTCTGCCACTCACCAGCTATGTGATCTTGAGCGAGTGATTTAACCTCTCTGAGCCTCAGTCTCCTCCTCTGTGACCATGGTGCTGAGAAGGGTCTGTGAGGGTCCACTGAGCTACAGGGACTGCACTGACGCAGTGTTTGGCACCCAGTAGGCCCACACTCAGTGTTAGCTGCTCCTGCTGAAGATGATGATGACATCAGAATCAAAAGCCTTTGCTCCTAAGCCTTATCCTACTCTAAGTCCCCTCAGACGTTGTTCTCTGAGTAGTTGATTGAACTTGGGAAAACCGTATCTGCTTTCCACAGAGCCAGGGAAACGCGGCATCCTGTGAAATTCCTGGAAGCCATGTATTGACTTCATGGATAATATTTGGATTTGAATTTAGAATTTACCCCAAATGTATTCACTTTGGATCTAGGGATGACTGGCTTAGTTTGGGGGATAGCATTGGTGCTGAAACAGTTATTTTACCTCATCACTTTTGGGGGGCAGGGGGTAATACCTCAGGCAGAGGGATGTCCCACATGGCACGAGGAGGAAGTCATGACTCAGATTCATAATTTACATTGGCATGGGAATCACTAATGCCAGCTGTATGGTAAGGTGTGGTGGGCGGAAGGGGTGGCATATGGGACAGGAAATCAATATCAAAGGATTATAGATAATGAGAAAGTATCAAGAGAATATCAAGGATGACCAGTTGCTGGAAAATAGTTGGAGGACCAAAGCTGTTGAGATTGGTAAAACAAATAAGACCTCCAGTAGGGCAAAAGTAAAGTTAGCCTATAGCACTGAGCAGATATTAAGATGAAAAACCAAAACACCTATAAAGATGAAAAACCAAAACACCAAACCGTTGCTGTCAAGTTGATTCTGACTCATAGCAACCCTAGAGGACAAAATAGAATGGCACCATAGGATTTCCAAGGCTGTAAATATTTATGGAAGCGGACTGCCACATCTTCCTCCCGCATGTAAAAATGCAAGGAATCATGAAATACATGAACTGCCCCAAGAAACACAGACCTTGGTTTGTGCCCAAAACTGGATCTCTTTTTTTCCCTAAATTTAGGAATCAAAAATAAAAGAACAGCGAGTTCTGTCATAACGCCGCCCTCTCTTTGTTCCTAACAGAGGGATTTCAGAGTGTCTGCCGCGACTGACGTGCATGATTCGAGGGATCGGAGACCCGCTGGTGTCTGTGTATGCCAGAGCCTACCTGTGCCGGGTAGGCCCGATGCGGAGCCACGCTGCCACCGGACCTATTCCCTGTCTCTTTAGACATCCATCCACTCAGGGCCTCCGCTTCCCGGCCACCTCTTAAGTCATTGAGAGAAGGACTTTATTAGCTGCTAATTTTAGAACATGGCTCTTCCGCAGAAAGTAGACCTTGAGGATTTTCTTTTAAAAATTAACTTTAAAGTAGACCAACTCACTGTAACTCTAATTAGGGGACATTTAAGGTCATCTTCTCACAAATGAACTGGTTTTCAGAATTAATTGTTTCGCAGCTCTCGCTGGGAAGGAGGAAATAGCCAAGGCTCCCAGGGCCTTTCGGCAGAGTGGCTGTTTTTCGTCTGGAGACATGCTTTCCCTCTGTCTTGAATTTGATTGTTTTATTAATGTTTTGTCCCCATATTAAAGGGGTCAGTGTGCAAGGTGGCGAGGGCCGTTTGAAAGGAGAGGTGTGCCCAGCGGTGACAGGCTCCGCGTCTGTTGTAGTGCGGCCTCAGGAGCTTCGGCCTGTCTTGGGAGGCTGCTCTGACAGGGAGGTGGTGCCAACCATAAATCGCTTGACCTTTCTCCCCTTGAAACCATCATGAACCTGCAACTTAAATCTATTCAGTTTTCAGTTATGAGAAATGCAACCCGTGGAGAGTAGATGGTCGTTTTTTTTAACCACAGGGGCTTTACCTTTGGCAGCTTCCCTGCCTGGATTTCAGTGGGAGTCCTCCTTGCCAGTCCCCTCAGCATCGTTAACCTTTGCAGAGGGGTGATTACCCTCTGTTTGGAGTCCCGGGGTGGAGCAAATGGGTAATGCTCTCGGCTGCTAACCAAAAGGGTAGAGATTTGAGTCCACGCAGAGGCACCTCAGAAGAAACTCTACTTCCAAAAAATCAGCCATTGCAAACCCTACAGAGCACAGTGCTACTCTGATACACACGGGGTTGCCATGAGTTGGAATTGACTCAGTGGCATGTAGTTGCTGCGCTTACTCACTAGGGTCCTGATGAACTTCAGCCTTCCTTGAGGACTAAGCTTCATTAGAGACCCTCCCTGCCTTCCCATTAGGTGATTATGCATACTATTAAATTGGGAGAGAATGTGTTTAGTCTTTGATTTGCTTTTACGTGACATCTAGCCATTCCTGTAGGCTTAAGTATCACAAAGAAATCAAATAGGCATTGCCCTGAGTGAATTAACAGACATCCATTATGAAGGAAACTTTTTATAGATCTGTGATATGAAGAATAAAAGGAAAAGTCTTCCATTTAAGAGCAACCCACTCCTCTTTCTCACAGAGCCCAGAGTGTTTGTGCATTGTCATCTGCTTGAAACTGGAGGTGGGTTTTTCATATAGGAATATCAGGTGTGCATCCTGGAGTTTCAGGTTGTGAATATTTTGAAGATTGAATGCTCCTTCCAAGTCTGTGTTTGCTGAGGGCCTACCGTGTGCAAAGCACTCTGCAGATCCTGTGGGGAGAGATGCAGAGATGTCATTGTTGCCTTTACTCTGATACCCAAACCAAACCCATTGCCGTCGGATAGGTTCCTACTCATAGTGACCCTATAGGACAGAGTAGAACTGCCCCATAGGGTTTCCAAGGAGCGGCTGGTGGATTCAAACTGCCACCGTTTTGATTAGCAGCCA